AGGACGCTATTGTCTTCCCCTCCTTCCCCAGCCATGATGGAGAGCTTTGAACGGCTTCTTGTGCCTGCCCTCACCATTACTGGTGACATCATGGAACAAGTTCACTGCTTCACTTAGCTAGGGAGTCGCATCAAAGCTGGCGGCTGTATTGCAGAGGAGGTCTCACAACGACTCGCAAAGACCCGCCTTACATTCATTAGACTAAGACACGTTGTTGCCGTCGCGACATCAGCCTCAAACTCGAGAACATTGCCTCTGTCCGTGCGGTTCTCTTGTGCGGTTGTGAGACCTGGCCGACTCGCTCGGAAAACATAAATGATTGTCCGTTTTCGACAGTCGTTGTCTGCGTATGATTGCTGGCATGTGGTGGCAGCATCAAATGTGTAACGCAGAAGTATGAGAGCGAGTGTTTGGAGCAAACAGCCCATGTCTCCAAACGGTTATTCTCAGACACCAATTGTATTGGCTCGGTCACTTACTGCGCATGCCAGCCCATCGCCTTCCCCGTCGATCGTTATTCGCGCTCCCTGGAAGCGATTGAAAAAAGCCCCGCGGTGGACCACCAATGACTGGAGAAGGAGCATGAAAAATACAACCTCAAGCTTAGCATCAGTCGAACTGGTCCGTCTTCCAGGATGGGGACCACTCGATTCGGACTGCCAGTGTTTAGGAACGATAGAGACTATGGCGCGCAACAGGCATCAGTGGATACCGTGCTGTTCAACCGCGTTATCTATTAGTTAACGTCTCATCGAACATAAAACTCCAAAACACAAAAATATTTCAAAACGGCTTGTGTAAAACAGAAAAATCGTTTTCTTCTTATGTTGTATTTCCTCTTTCCTTTTTATTTTGCTAGGGTTCTGATGGCACATTTTCTGTTATCAGAGTATATATATATATATATATATATATATATATATATATATATATAGTACAAGCCGACGCGCAGCTGCGCCTATTTCATGGGTATTCATGTATTTTCACACTGCTGGTATCCATCGCAATGAGGCTGGACCTTACCGTGGTGCGATGGTTTGTGTGCCTCAGTGATCCATTGAGCTATACTGGGTGGTGCTTTTGCGCCTTCAGAGCCACTCATACCAGATTGGTCAATGGTTAGAGGCCAGACAAACTCAGCCTCCTGGTCCTCCAGGTTGGGGGTTGGAATGAGGGTGGCTCCTTATTCCTTAAAACGGACTCCTTGTAGTCCAGTGCCAAACCCGCTGCCTTGCGGCCAGGTTTTTGAACCAAAGGCTTTGGTTGAGAACCCTAATCGTTCTCCTGTCTAGGCCTGGGCAACCTGACAGTATCCTGCCCACGCAATACAATGAATCCTTCCCCAAACAAATTTCTGATGCTCTGGCCACCGCAGAGGATAATCAACGGTGCCCTATCTGCTGCATCGAGCAGGGTGGATAGGGGTTTGGATGCTACTGCTCAGGCCTTCCCATCTTCTTATTCCCCTTCTTGCGCTTTTTCACCCTTATCGTCCCGTTCCAGCTTTACTTTTATCCCCCCTGTTTTCAACCCCCCAATTCTCGGCCCTCCCCCACCTTGCTTCAATAGTCGCTTGTCTTTTAGTTTCAACTCACAGGTGAACGCAGAGCGTCATTCCTGCACTGTCAACAGGCCCATGTCCAAGCAAGCGGCCCATTCCAGTTCATCGGCTTCCATTTGGAGCCCTCGATCCTCCTTCAGACTGGCATGCCTCAATGTTCGCACATTGCTTCAGATTGGTCAACAGGCAGCACTTGCCCGAACATTAGAGACCCTCTCGATCGATATCTGCTGCTTATCGGAGACCCGCCTGCAAGACTCGAGCTCTGTACTCACTCTGCGATCCCCTTCAGGTGACACTAGCAGCACTTTCTCATTGCGCCTATCCGGTGACGATGCAGCTTCGAGCACCGGCCAAGCCGGTGTTGGTATTGCCCTGAGTCCCCGGGCTGAAGCTGCTCTGGTTGATTGGATTCCAATCAGTAGCCGGATGTGTGCGGTCCGATTGGCTGGCTCGTTCAAAACTTCGAAGTCGCGCGGGACTAACAGGTGTCTATTCGTTATCGCTGCCTATGCACCGACAAACTGTAGCGATGACTCGGTAAAAGACGACTTCTATCGCCAACTGAACGAACTCCTTCGCCACAGAAGAAGCTCGGACACTGTAGTGCTGGCTGGGGATCTGAACGCTCAAGTTGGAAAATTATCCGCAGATGAGCTGCATCTGGGCGGCCAACATGGTATAGGCTCCCGTAATGATAACGGTGAGCGGTTACTTCATTTGTGTGAGGATGCTCGCTTATTTCTTGCGAGCACTAATTTCCGACACAGCACCCGCCGGAGGGTGACTTGGCGCCCACCAGCCTCGAACCAGCTATGGACGCAAATCGATCACATTGCTATCAGTTACCGCTGGAGAGGCTGCGTCCAGAACTGTCGCTCGATTTGGAGCACAGGTGTTGACACCGATCATGCACTTGTATGTGCTGACCTGCGGATGCGCTTTGGCGGACGCCCGCGACGATGTTGTGAGCGCATTGACACCGGCAGACTGGTGAATCCAGCTGTTCTGAACGCCTATCAAATTACGCTGTCATCCGAGTTGGATAAACGCTCACTGGATGCAATTGAAGCTCACTGGTCTCATATGCAACAGGCCTTACTAGCAGCAGGCAAATCCTCATGTGGTATGTCTAATCGCCAACATGAACATTGGGTCTCTTCACAGTCTTTGGAACTTATAGATGCTCGCCGGCATATTCCGGCTGGAAGCGAACACAATGAAACTCGCAAAGAGCTCCGGGCAAAACTCCGTGCTAGCCTGAAGAGAGACCGCGAATCCTGGTGGTCTCGTCGTGCAACAGAGATGGAAATGGCCGCTGCCCTTGGTAACCATCGTGAGTTATTCCGTCTTATACGGGAAACGGGCAGCAGGAGACCTGGTGTTAGTGAAACTATACGTGACGAGAGTGGACAGCCCATCCACAATTTATCAAAACGCCTGGAACGTTGGGCTGAGCACTTTGAAAGGCAATTTAATCGGTCGGAATTGTTAGATTTCTCGCCGACCAGTGATCGCCCTGCTCCGTGGGCTGTTCCTTTGGATCCACCCTCTCGCTCAGAAGTCGAACATGAGATCAAACTGTTGAAGTTAAATAAAGCCGCGGGACCTGATGACCTTCCTCCAGCCCTCTTCAAATTCGGGGGACCTGCTCTTGTGGATGATTTACACGAGTTACTAGTGAGACTGTGGGAGCAGGAAACTGTCCCAACCGATTGGAGCCGCTCCATCATAGTCCCAATTTTCAAAGGAGGCTCACGATCGGAATGCGGCAGCCATAGAGGAATCAGTCTGATCTCCATCGCCTCCAAATTGCTTGCCTCTGTCATCCTTCACAGACTGACTGGCACTCGTGAAAGCCAGATTCGTGAAGAGCAAGCTGGATTTCGTCGAGGTCGTAGCTGCATTGACCACATCTTCACCTTGCGTCAGTTGTTGGAGCACCGTCACATATATTGGCGGCCCACCGTTGTCGTGTTCCTCGATATCAAAGGTGCATTCGATTCGGTGGATAGACATGCACTTTGGGACTGTCTACTCAGGAAAGGTGTACCTGAGAAATATGTGAATATTATCCGAGCATTATACGCTCGTAGCTCGGGCAGAGTGAGGGCTTACGGCAAGTTGTCGTCGCCCTTTAATATCTCCAGCGGCGTGAGACAAGGATGCCCGCTGTCACCTTTCCTCTTCAACTTCGCTGTTGACGAAGTCATGGAAATCGCGTTCACAGGACACGACTTGGAAGGTGTGGAGCTACTCCCAGGAGAACGACTTCTTGATTTAGAGTATGCTGATGATATTGCCCTAATCTGTGACAGCTCACAAACGTGCCAAGCGGCACTGGACAGATTAGCACTAGCTGTCCGTCACTTCGGGCTTTGCTTCGCACCCTCGAAGTGCAAAGCGTTTCTCCAAGATTGGTCTGGACCGCCTCCTACGCTGACCCTTGGTGGGGATCAGCTAGAAGTCGTTCAAAAATTCAACTACCTGGGAAGTTGTATCAGCGCCTGTGGGATTGAAGATGAAATCACGAATCGTATAGCAAAAGCTCGGGGCGCTTTTGCTAACCTTCGCCACTTATGGCGCCGGCGCGACATCACTCTTGCCCTGAAGGGTAGAGTGTACAATGCAGCAGTACGTTCGACCCTATTGTACGGTTGTGAAACCTGGCCGCTTAAAGCAGCGGACCTGAAGAGGCTAGTTACGTTCGACCACCGGTGCCTTCGTAATTTAGCTCACGTTTGGTGGGAACACCGCGTGAGTAACGAGCGTGTTCGACGCCTTGTTTATGGCACAGGAAAAGGAACTGAACCGCTCAGCACCGTTATTTCACGCATCAGGCTCCGATGGCTCGGCCACGTGTTACGCATGCCAGCCCACCGACTTCCGCGACGTGTGTTGTTTGCGCGCCGGGGGTGTGGATGGAAGAAGAGGAGGGGTGGCCAAGCGATGACTTGGTCCAGAGGAATGAAGACCCTCACTTCGAAGCTGGCCTCGGTTGGAGCGTCTCGGCTCCCTGGTTGGGGTCCGAAAGACGATGAACACGTTTGGTTGGACACACTTGCTGATATGGCTAGGAGCCGACCTCAGTGGCGTTCGTGCTGTGAGTTTCTTTGTCCCACCCCATCCCTCTTAGCCTCCCCCTCCAACCACGATCTCATTACTTAGCCTTATATAATTTTGCATAATAATTTTTTTTGGGTGCACAGCAGCCGGCTGGTAGCTTACCGGAACGATGCCCATCCGTTACCGGTAGCTCAGCCAGCTTTCACCAGTTGTTTTTTTCTCTCCTTTTTTCTTTGTATTGCGGCACAGTAGCTGAGGTGTTTCCCACCTCTAGCTAACGTGTATGATGATGATGATGATGACACTGCTGGTATTTACATAGTATGTTCGAAACTTTCTACCCGCGGAAATTCATTCGGAACAATGGACTTACGAAGATAAACAGTGCCAGGAAGTTACCAGGGACTTTCCGTCTGACGCTCGTGCAACATGCCAACGTGATGTAGGTGGCGAAGAATACTCCGCTGGAATGAGAAATTGGAGACATTTTTGTTTGCACGATGCGAATATGGTGTGTCACGTTCAACGATCCCACAATCAGAAACTTACTAGGACACGTAAAGAAAAATCGGGTGGTGCCTTATCCAGACGCATATGACAGGTCTACAAAGAAGATTACGTGTGATGCCACTGCAATGCTTTTTGGCTTACAGTAGGGTGCACAGAGCGATGAATCCTCCACTTACCAACAGCTGGGAAAACAGAATAAGGTAGACCTGAAAAAATGAAACAGAATTTTGAATTGTGTTTTTGGTTCATTCAGAAAACTGTTGTCTGCATAAAACCGGAAAAGTAATTCCTCTCAGCTTATCTCATTCAGTGTGTCAATGAGCTGCCTCCATTACTTGTCAACTGGATCTCAGAAATACATAGTCCTTCTTGCTTTAGGCTTATTTATCAAAGTGCTTAGTGCCCAGGCAAATCCGGAATTGTAAGGTAGCACTATTTATACATCCAATGAAATGGTCCTTTTATGGCGGTCATCGCGTGAATGGATTGCTACACGCAACCTTAATCAGGACTGAGATATATGCTGAAGTGAAGCTTAGTCGCCTCCTTCACTGGGACCTTGTTTGAAACGGATAAATGCCACGTGATGCCCGCTGATGACACTGCACTAATAGGTGTCTATTCATCATTGCTGCATACGCGCTCACAAACTGTAGCGATGATTCGGTAAAGAACGATTTCTACTGCCAACTGACCCAGCTCCTTCGCCACAGAAGAAGCACGGACACTTTTATGCTGGCTGTGGATCTGAACTCACAAGTTAGAAAGTTGTCCACTGAAGAAATGCATCTGCGCGGTCAGCACGGTGGAGGCTCCCGTAATGATAACGGTGAGCGGTTACTTCATTTGTGCGAGGATGCTCGCTTATTTTCTAACTTCCGACACACACCCGCCGAAGGGTGACTTGGCGCCCACTAGCCTCGAACCAGTTATGGACGCAAATCGATCACATTGCGATCAGTTACAGCTGGAGAGGCTGCATCCAGAACTGTCGCTCGATGTGGAGCACATGTGTGGACACCGATTATGCACTTGTATGTGCTGACGTGCGGATGCGCTTTGGCGGACCCTCACGACGACGTTGTGACCGCAATGATACCAGCCAAGTGGCGAAACCAGCAGTTCTGAATGCCTATCAAAGTACGCTGTCATGCGAGTTGAATAAACGCTCACTGGATGCAATTGAAGTGACTGGTCTCATATTCACCAGACTTTACTAGCAGCAGGCAAATCCCCATGTGGTAAGTCTAATAGACAACATGGACATTGGGTCTCTTCGCAGTCTTTGGAACTTATAGATGCTCGCCGGCATATTCCGGCTGGAAGTGAACACAATGAAAGTCTCAAAAGAGCTCCGGGCAAGACTCCGTGCTAGTCTGAAGAGAGACCGCGAATCCTGATGGTCTAATAGTGCATCAGAGATGGAAATGGCTGCTGCCCTTGGCAACCATCGTAATTTATTCCGTCTTATACGGGAAACGGGCAGCAGGAGACCTTGGGTTAGTGAAACTATACGTGACGAGAGTAGACAGCCTATCCACAATTTGTCAAAAGGATTGAAGCGTTGGGGTGATCACTATGAAATGCAATTTAATCGGTCGGAATTGTCAAATTTCACGTCCGCCACTGACCGCCCTGCTCCTTGGTCTGTCCCTTTGGATCCACCCTCTCGCGCATAAGTCGAACATGAGATCGGACTGTTGAAGTTAAATAAAGCCGCGGGATCAGATGATCTTCCTCCAGCCCTTTTCAAATTCGGGGGACCTACTCTTGTGGATGATTTACACGAGTTACAAGTGAAATTGTCGACGCAGGAAACTGTCCCAACCGAAAAGAGCCGTTCCGTTACAGTCCCAATTTTCAAGTGAGACTCACGATCGGAATGCAGCAATCATAAAAGAATCAATTTGAACTCCATCGCCTCCAAATTGCTTGCCTCTGTCATCTTTCACAGACTGACTGACACTTGTGAAAGCCATATTCGTGAAGGACAATCCAGGTTTTGTCGAGGTCGCGGATGCATTGACCACATCTTCACCCTGCGTCAGTTGTTGGACCACCGTCACATATATTGGCGGCCAACCATTGTCGTGTTCCTTGATATCAAAGATGCATTCGATTTGATGGATAGATATGCACTTTGGGACTGGCTACTCAGGAAATGTGTACCTGAGAAAAATGTAAATATTATCCGATCATTATACGCGTGTAGCTCAGGCACAGTGAGGGCATACGGCAAGCTGTCATCCCCCTTTAATATCTCCAGTGGTGTAAGACAATGATGCCCGCTGTCACCTTTCCTCTTTAACTTCGCTGTCATGGAAATCGCGTTTACAGGACACAACTTGGAAGATGTGGATCTACTCCCAGGAGAACACTTCTTGACTTGGAGTATGCTGATTATATCACCATAATCTGTGATGGATCACAGAGGTGCTAAGCGGCACTGGAAAGATTAGCACTGGCTGTCATTCACTTCGGACTTTGCTTTGCACCCTCGAAGTGTAAAGCGTTCCTCTAAGGTTAGCCTTGACCGTCTCCTACGCTGACTCTTGGTGGGGATCAGCTAGAAATCGTTCAAAAATTCAACTACCTGGGAAGTTGTATCAGCGCCCGTGGGATTGAAGATGAGATGGCGAACCGTATAGCAAAAGCTTGAAGTGCTTTTGCTAACCTTCGCCATTTATGGCGCCGGCGCTACATCACTTTCGCTCTGAAGGGTAGAGTGTACAATGCAGCAGTACGTTTGACCCTACTATACGGTTGTGAAACTTGGCTCCTTAGATCAGCGCACATAAAGAGGCTAGTTACGTTCGACCACCGGTGCCTTCACAATTTGACTCACATCTGGTGGGAACACCGCGTGTGCAACGAGCATATTCGACGCCTTGTTTACAGCACAGGAAAAGGAAACGAACCGCTCAGGACGGTTATTTCACGCACCAGGCTCCGATGGCTGGGCCACGTGTTACGCATGCCAGCCCACCGATTCCCGCGAAGTGCGTTGTTTACGCGCCCGGGGGTGTGGATGGAAGAAGAGAAGAGGTGGGCAAGCGATGACTTGGTCAAGAGGAATGAAGGCCATCACTTCTGAGCTGGCCTCGGTTGGAGTGTCTCGGCTCCCTGGTTGGGGTCCGAAAGACGATGCACACGTTTGGTTGGATACACTTGTTGACATGGCTAGGAGCCGACCTCAGTGGCGTTCGTGCTGTGAGTTTCTTTGTCCCACCCCATCTCTCTTAGCCTCCCTCTCCAACTACGATCTCGTTATTTAACATCTTATAAAATTTTATAGTAAATGACTTTTTTCTGTTGCACAGTAGCCGGCAGGTAGCTTGCCGGAACGATGCTCATCCGTTACCGGTAGCTCAGCTGGCTTGCACCTGTTGCATTTTTTGCTTTTTGCTTTTAGGTATTGCGGCACAGTTGCTGATGTGTTTCCCACTTCTAACTAACGTGTATAGTGTGTGTGATGCTTTTCAGACGTTCCATGGAGAGAACGCAAGCGACGGAAGCAGTGCCTAGGAGAGTTCCGCCTAGCCATCGCAGCCAGAAACGTTTTTGTCCATGGTGTCCCCCAGTCTCATGAGCACAATGAATGCGAAGCAGAAACTCACATTCAGGAACAGCAGCGTTATATTCGTGAGACCCTACCCTTGAAAGACGTTGTAGCTACTTACCTCTCAAAGCCGCCAATATCAAAAAGCTACAACGGTTGCGGCCCAGTGATTATTAAGGTTATGATATAAACAAGGCAGGTGGCACTAAGGTCACTGGAACGATGGTAGTCACTTCGAACCAGACTGCCAACCGAGCTCCGGTTCAAAGAGGCGAGCGAAATTGTCATCCGACTTAAAGCACCACATCAACAAGCAAACGAAGTGGATATCCCAAGTGGATATCCCATTCGAAATTCACACTGGTAGCAGGTCTGAAATAAGTGAGGACCATCTTGTGCAATCATGTATCCACTCTGCATACATTGTGCAAGGAGGGTCGTCAGGGGGGCTAATTACGTTGCCACCGAACGCAGCTCCAACTGACTCGCTGATAATATCCCAAGAAACCGGCTAGTGGCTGTTCACAAAACGGTTCGCACAACATCTCATCCTAGCCACAAGTGTTTCGGATCGCTGCTGAGAACCGAAACACTTTCCTTAATGTACACGGATGCCCAAGACCTCCTCAGTATAATTACCGTGCTTCGGTTGCGCCAGGCAACAAACGCTTTGGATATCATTTTCATAACCAAGACTGGGTTGTACTGAGGTTATGGATGGCGAGATCGCAATTCCTTGATTAGCCTTGTTCCGATACAGTAGCTGAGGTGTATCCCACATCTAGCTAACGTGGATAGTGTGTGTGTTTTGTTCAGACACTATCGTTCCAGCAGGAGAAGTGGTTCTGTCCTATACGATCGCAGCGACCAAATGCGAAACACTGGCTGATACGGAGACGCGGGTCACTGCTTCGCTATGATGCCGTTTGCGTCTCAGACACAACGACAACTGCTTCGTGTCAGTTGTTTATCACTCTTTAGGGCCCACTCCTGAGATGAATTCCTGCCTAATCACTGAGGAAATGCGTACTTCAAACTTCTAGCCACCTTCGTATCTACGGCGATTTCAACGTGCATGATCTGGACGCCTCGGCATTCTCCCGCGAACATACACTACCGAAACGCAAGATCTTATCGCAAGTATCCCGCTCTACAACCACATCAGCTCACCTAATAGGTATAGAGCTGATAACAAACCATCGGTACGTGATCACAAACTTACAAATGAGGAACTCATAATCGACAGGCCAATTTTATAAACCGTACTAGAGTTAAGCAATCATGTCGCCATACTTTATAACTATGTGTGCTACGTTGAATATCCTGAGGAACACACCATACTAACACAAACTATCACACATTAAAACATCCTGAACACCTTAGTTGAAACGACCGATTGGGAATGCTTGAAAGTGGCTCACCTGAAGGCACCTGGATTCAGTTTGTTGGACGCTTCAGCAATCTAATCACAACTGCTTCAGAAAAGAAGAGCTGTCGCTCACCAGTCCCTCGTCTTTCATCAGAAGTAGAACATGCAAGCATTTGTCAACAAGCAATGCAGTTTGGCACACTTACTGAGCTCGTCCTTGTCCCGAAACCAGTAGCGATTACGTGAGCTGGCGCAGCCACTGTAATATGCTTGTTCGT